TAAGATCCAAGGGGGTTTGGATCTGTATTCACCAGGAGTTGGTGAAAGGAAGGAGGGGGGAAGGGTCAATTTCTCCTTGTTTTAAGATCCAAGGAGTGTGGATCTGTATTCACCAGGGAATTGGTGAAGGTCTCTCAAGGCTACCCAGGGAAGGGAATTAGCTTTGGGATGGTGGCAGCGGACCAGAACTAAGCTGGTAGTTAAGCTTAGGAGTCCTCATGCAGGCCCCTACATTTGTACCCTAAAGTTCAAAGTGGGGATACAGCCTTGACAGGGGTATATACAATGAGCCCTCCAGGACTGACTGTTAGAGTCTTTGGCTTTCCTGTACGGGAGCCTCAAGTGCTTCATGCGTTCCCAGCACTGGGATAGAGCCCGCTCAACACTTGCCTGCTCCAGCCTCTGTGAAACTTCTGGGTGCAGGTGAGTGTTCCTGCTGCTCCAGCTGAATGTCTGAGGACGGTGTACTTCCCCCAACACATTGATCAGCATCCAGGTATCCCCAGTGGACAAAAAAGCTGCTCTGAGCGGTGGATCCATTTTCACCTGTAAGAGGTGCAGCAGAATGCTGCTCTGCTGTGGTCAGTCGATGCAGCATTGCTTCTACCAGTGTGCAGGGGAACAGGGACCGGGACTGTGTCAGGGTCAGGAAAAAAAGAATTCAGTGTGTTGTGGGAATGGGGGGTGGAGGACTAATGAAACTCAAGGCCTGGTACATACCCCGTATCCCCGTTCACTCTGCAAACTGGCACCGGAACGGGCTCGTGCCACAACCTGGTCTACCCCAAATTCTGAAAGACAAACCCCTGAAAGACAAACTATACTGACCTAACCCCCAGTGTAGACAGCGATAGCTCGATGGAAGAACTCTTTCATCAGCCTAGCTACCATCTCTTGGGGAGGTGGATTCATTACAACGGGAGAACCCCTCCCATTGCTATAGTGAGTGTCTACACTGAAGTGCTAAGGCAGCACAGTTGCACTGCTGTAGCATTTTAAGAGTAGCCATAGCCTCAGGCATGTACTTACCCAACCACACACCCCGCAGGTGTGCTAGCTTACTCGCCCTCTACTTACCTTTGGCACGTGCTACTGGGGTTTAACTATGGCCAATAGGGGGATTATGGCACAATCAATGTATGGACATGTGAACAGTCAGTAGTGTAGATGTACCCACAGGCAGCTCTGAAAGGACAATATTCAAATCATAATGCAATCACCAGTACAAGCATTTTTTTATATCCTCTTGATCTGTTGTTCCAACAAGTCAGCCTGCTCCTGCTCCCACTGAAGCCAGTGGTAAAATTCCCCACTGACTTCAATGCATTTATGCTCTTGGGTGGCTTTCTTGGCTGACTGGGTCTACACCTGTCCTCTCTCATGTATGCGCCCAAGCTGTTCATTCTTTGATCCAAAGCTGATGGTACTTTACTACATCTGCAGGGAGCCTATTCTAAATTACAAGTTTCAGAGCCTGATGGTTTCAAAGTTAAAGACAGATTACAGGTTGCAATCTGCAAAGCTCCCTATTTGGATTCATTCCAGATGGACTCATCTTCAAGCAATCCCAGATTAACGTGGCATTCAATTTGGTGAGTGCAGCAGCCGAAAGACATATGGGGGTGGGGGGCGGGAGTCGGAGAGGGGAGTTTGTTCTCCCCCTCAGGAATCCTCTACATCATTCTCAGAGCCTGGAGGATGTCCCCAGTTTACACTCCCTCTGTTTTGCAATCCCATCCTCCAGACCTGCACCTGCATTTCAGCTACTGTTCTAGTGTTTAATGGAGGACTGGAGTCAGTTGATGCCTCTCCTTAAATGGGCTGGACTGAATCATTGCTGAATGATGGAAGACCATGTGGGATGGATAATGTCTAAACTTGACCTGGACTGATCAACAATGTAGGTTCTCAAACTACTTGTGAAGGTGTGAGATACTTGAGAACAGTCCTTTGAGGATGTCTTTCTGACACTGGGCCTGGATTGTTCAATTCATTCAATCCTGGCCTCATGCAATTATGAAGAACTTCCCTCTCCAATACTAGGAGCCCAATTTTCAAATTACACAACCTAAATTATGGTGCACATCCTGTGTTTGGGCATTAATATCGGCACGTGGGTGTCCAACGCGGATATTTGAACATGCAGAATTAGTGTCAGTTAAGATGTTTAAATGTGGAATGGGGTGCTCTCATTTATTATTCTTCTTCAACATTTATCCAGTGATACTGTAAGTTAGGCGCCTTTTGTGCCTGATCCAGAGAGGTGCTCACCGCCCACAATTCCCACTGGAATCAGTTGCTCAGCAGCACAGCTCAGGAGTAGGCCCATTGTGGGTTTTGTTAAAAAATGGGGATACATCTCGTGCAAGTTTCTGATGCTGGTGCCAAGGAGCCTTTTGAATGAAATTATTTCTCTTCTCCGATACCCTTGTGGTTTGCGACTTTTTCTTTTTATCTTGCCCCATTTTTATTGGTTTGATTTCTTTATGCCTCTTGTGCGACTCTTTGTTCTGGGCTGCAATGAATGAGCAACAAGTGTGGATGATGAATTATGGATTGAAAGAAAAGGTTGAGCTAGTTTGGAATCACTCCTCAGTGCCATTTCAAAGGGCACTGGAATCCCCAAAAGGTTTGGGTTTAAACTATGTATATGGGTTGGAATATTTTTATTTAAAAAATAAAAAGTAATTCTAGTGCAACTCAGTTCACTGGTGTTTTTTTCCTCACCTGCTTCCTCAGAGCTAGTTCTGGAACCCTCATGCACATTGAAAAATATCACCCGTCAGAAAAAGCAATAAAAACACAAACAGCATCTGGAAACCATTTACCAATTACATTCAGATACTTTCAACAAACAGGCAGATGCACTGCAAATCTTAGTGGCATTTGAGCCAAACAAATAAGGGGTCGAACAAAACCTTAATGCCATTTGTGTTACAATTATTGCTAGGTAGCTCCAAAGGGTTGTTTTATAGACTATGAACTTTATGTTACCAGCTCCGTGTTCTCTCCCTTAGGAGTCTTCAAACCACAGAGCAGGACAACTAGGAAGAGCATGCTGGCAGCCAGCCATGTTTTTCCCACCCTTTCTCCTCCAGTTCTATTACTGCGTAAAATGGCTCTGCTCATGCTAGCAAGGTACCACTCACTGTGAGTAAAGGGTGGCAACATCTGGACCAGAGTCAGCATTAAATTACCTCAGCTAAAGTGCCACAAGGCTTTGGGGAGGGGATGGAGCTGCTGCAGAGATCAGCCATTTTCAGCCCCACACTGGCTTGATTCCTTCCATGCACTGGCCGGGGAGCTTCCAGAGAGCTGGGGTGAAAAGGAAACTATGCTGCAGAGGCAGTGCTTCCCTCTTCCTCCAGAATTGCCAGGTTTTCATCCCCTACACCTGCCCAAGAGGAGGGGTGAGACAGATCTAAATTGCTCGCATACCCTTTTGTGCTTGGGTGATTCCAAAGTGGCTTGGTTTTAAAAGACTTCACACATGATGGGGGCTTAGTTTTCAGGGAGGAGACATACTTCCCAGAGGTTGAACACGGGGGTGGGGGAGAGGAGGCGCAAGGGCTGTTGTGGAAAGTTCACCTCTGCATTTCCCAACACAATTAAAATTCAAACCTTAGCATTAACATTGTTTTGTGCATTCAGAGTGGGTGAAAATTCTCTCGACTGCTGCTGCTCTTTTCAGCTATAGCAGCTCCTCATTCTGCTGCAGCCATCTCCACTTCTTTTCCTCCTGCTGCTGCATCATGAATTGCTACTGTTTCTGTATCTGCATCTGCCCCTGCTCCTACTACTGCCATTTCTATTGTTCCTCCCTCCATGAAGGGCTGCTAAACGAATTTCTGTGACCACAGGCACACTAATCCATCCATAAATTCCCCAGAGTGATTAAAAGACAAGGCCGTAGGTAGCAGTTTAAAACACTAGCCAGTTCTCAAAACTCATCCCCATAGCATATGCTTTTACAAACAATGTGATCGCTGACAGAACAGATGCACTGAGATACAGAGAGCTTCCTTTCCAGGCACTCTAACCATTCCTTCCCCTCCTGCACCCCGGACCTTCCATACTGTCTTCCTCTCTTGTTTTACACAGAGTTCAAACCGCCACTTAATTTCACAGGTCTCCTTAACTCTGCTCCTGCCTACACCTGCTCCATCTCCACCAAACTTCTTTCCATACTCCTCTACTGGCAGCATCCCTTGAGTCCTCTACCCACTCCAGACATGGTGCCATCTGTTATGCCATCCCATACATTGGAATAGCCACCCGCCCTACTATTATTCAGCTAATGCCTTATTCTACTCCAGAATCTTCTCAAACCCCATCTCTTCTATGAAGCACTGCAGCTACAGGGCCAAACTCCTGTAAGGTGCCGAGCAGCTGAAATCAATGGGAGTGGAGGGCACTCAACTCCTCACAGGGTTGGGCTCATACTGATCATCCACTATTCTGAGTCTGTTCTGTTTGTATTATGCTGTATTGTACCCACTTGTGCCTTTTGACCCTGATCCTGACAGGTGCTGAGGATCACTTAGGATCAAATCCTTAGGTTCAGCTTTTTAGGTAAGAGTTTGTTATCCATTTTGCCTGTTGTAAGGAGCTGGAGCATATTGTTATGCTGGAGGGTGTGCTAGCTGCCTTCTGTTAAACTTAAATGAGGGAGTAATTAAATGCCCTTTTTTTAGTGAGAGCAGAAACAGGGGGATTGATTGGATTGCAGCTGTGCGTGAGTGGCTCAGATGTACAAAGCCAGCAGAAAAGGAAGCAGAATGAGACCGCAAGAGAAGCACAGCCCTGAGAGAAAACCAAGCAAGAGGAGTCGTTTTGGGACAGAGCGCTGGCTGGAAAAGAAGACTTGGAATTGTGAGCAAGGAAACTGCTACCTCTTGTTTGATTCCTACTGTGTTCAGGGAGACAGGACTTTGTGTACATTCTTTGTAAATAAACAGGATTGCATCAGAGAAATACCTGTGTGATGGGGCACAACTCACCACTGCGGCACCTTCTGCTGGCTGTCCGGGGAATTAGTGCTGCGCCCTCTGCTGGTGGTGTCTCACCCACTGTCACCTCTGTTCCAGGAAGCATGTTGTTCCAAAGGATATGGCGTCCCCTTCAGGACACAGCCCTCCGGCTGTGTCACACTCTGTTTCCCCCCCTTCCGGGGGAACGGCAGTTCACTGTTCAGCCACTTCCTCGATGGCAAGTGTGTGTGTGGGGGGGGGACGGGACGGGGGACAACCCAGGCCCGCACACTACTCCAGGTCCCAGTCCAGGGACCCTGAAGATGGCAGCCATGTGCTACATCCCCTCCAACCCCACAGTCTACTTCCCTGTAGCCCCAGCGCCTTCTCCGCCCATGTCTCAGGGCCCCAACATGTCAGCAGTCAGCCAGGAGCTTAACCTCGCTCCCCTGATCCTGCCCAGCACAGCTCTATCCAAGGTGCTAGCTGCCCTCTGCCTGTAAGGCAGCCAGTGCTCCTACCTCCCCGAGCTCCAGGGACAGACTGACTTGCTCTGACCCTGCAGCTCTTCTTAGATGGGCCTGCCCGGCCCTGATTGGCTGCTCCTCATAGCACTCTCCAATTGGCTGTTTCCTGCACAGCCTCCCTAGGGTCCTCTCCCATTGGCTGTCTTATTGCATAGCCTCCCTAGGGTTCTATTAATCCTTTATGGGCTAGTGTGGGGCAGATGCCCCATCACAACCTGACTTGTAATCCATTTCTCCTACCCATTAAACACCCTGTAAGGCCCCAAATATTGGCTAACTGCTTGGACCAAAAAAGACAACGGGGTTAAGCGGCTAAATAAATAATTGGAGCTGGTTGAAAAATTTCAATTTCATTTTGTCTCAGTTGAGGACAAAGACATATAACTTTTTCCTCCCTTTTTTCTAGTGGAAAAAGAGTAAATAAATGAAAGTGAGGTTTTACCCTGCCAAAATAAAATGAAATTGTTTATCAAAAAACAAAATTTCCCAAATCCTTTTTGAATGGAAATGCTCATTTCCTTAGAATTGTTATGACAAAACCTTTTTATTAAAAAATAAATAAATCCCAGCTCTATAAATAACAGTAGAGATTGGGAACTGCTTTTGAATAGCCACGTTCTGCTTAGTCAGTTGGGGCCTTTTGGGTGAAGTCACAGCCATATGCTAGTTCCCAATAGTGGACAGGTGGTACCTACTCACCAAATTGCACTATATGACAATATGCGAGTGACGAAAGCATTGGTAGGGTGATGAAGTTGTGGTAGGTATGGGGATGAACAGAGTCGGTGGGAAGATGATGAGGAGAGGACAGAAAGTGAAGGGCTGAAGGAGACAGTGATAGTTTTAAACTGTGAAGCTGCCATTTCAGCCACTTCTAATTCATTTGCTATTGCAAAAGCTAAGCTGGGAACTATTAAGAACTCCAGATTTCATTTTGATAAAGGAAAGCAGGGTCCTAGTGTCTAGGCTCCAGCCTGAGCCTGGAAGTCTACACAGCAATGAAACAGCCCCACGAGCCCGAGTTGGCTGGCACGGGTCAGCCGTGGGTTTTTCTTTGCTGAGTAAACATACCCCCAAGTCACAAGTTTCTTCCCAGTCTGTTCCAGGGATAGGGTACCAATGTACTGCACCTTGCTCAGGGCTGGTGGTGAAACCACGATTCAGCCATTTTCTTGGAACTACTTTTCACAGTGGCAGGATACTTTGCTTAAAGTCCCACAAAATAATTTAGTTTTTAAATTGAATTATAGAAGTGATGAGCCAAAGCAACAGGGCAGTATCCCTTTTTTTAATAGTTTGTGATTCCTCTAGTGGTGCTCACCAGGTTCTGTGTTTTAGAAGCCACACGAAACCATTCCCAGCCACAACCCATAGGTAGCTGGGAGTTGCATGTTTGTGTACACAGTATACACCTAATTATTTGAATAGCATGGGGGGCGGGGGACACGGATTTAATTTGGCTAATTGAGAGAGCAGAAGTGACAGTGCAGGGAGGGAGCCCTCTGCAGCCAGTTCCCGTATCATGGCCCTGAACACTCAGTCCCATGACAGCAGGGCTGCAGAGGGTTCCCTGTGCTGCCGCTCCTGCCCTCTCGATTATGGCAGATGCAAGGGGCCGGGGAGTTGAGGGGGAGGCTGCATTCCTGGTGGCACAGTGCAGAGACCCACAGTCAGGCTTCTGCTTTGCCCCACCAGTACCACAGGCTTCCCTGCACCTTGTGCCTGCAGGGATTGGGTGTCACCGACCCTGAAGAATGCAGGGAGCCCTCTGCAGCCCACAGAAGCCACTGAGCAGCAGGGTGGCCTCCTCTGTGCTCTACTATCTGACCCTCTGCGTTATCCAAATCCCTTCCTTGTCTCCTACCACAAAGAAGGATTCAGATAATTTGGAGGTGCGGTATACTGCATTTAGTAAACACCATTCTTTTGGGACCCAACTGTGCCCATGTGGGTTCTCCACACTTTTTTGTTGTGTAAAGAGCAAACAACAACTGGAATAATAATAAGCCACTCCACGGTGAGCATCTGTAGGCTCTTAGTCATTCAGCCATACGAGAATCGCACCTTTAACCTAATGCACACTCTGTTGTAGCTGATTGCTATAACGATATGTATGCTAATCTGCATACACTTACACCCATGTATCTTTACACACGCCACTGGTCCTATTGCATAACTTTACACACATGAAAATTCTGTGCATGACTAAGTGTGCACAGGATTGGGACCTCAGACTGTCAGCTCAAGTCAAGGGACCTTGTTTTAGTTTCTCTGTAAAATGCCTACCACCTTTTTGAGGCCACATCAATAATAATTTTAAAAGATGAACAAGAAACCCCACTCTCTAATCGCTACAAGAAATGTTGCCCTCAGGATATTAAAAAATAGATGGCAGGGCATGCAGCGCACATGCCTCCCTACCCTCATAATGAAATATAGATTCCAGACAGAAAGTATGAAGCTGGAGGGATTCTCCGAGTATTTTCATCCTGAGCTTTTGAGTTCCTGAGGGGAAAAAATGGGAGCCTGGCAATGACAAGAGATTTAAAGGCATTTGTGTGAGCCATTTCTTCTGTAAGGTGAGAGTGATGATTTCATCAATCTCGCTGTCGAGGCACTGCACTAACTTATGCAAAGCCCTGAATTCCACTCTCCATGTGATATTGCAGTACACCAGCACCGGTGCTATTTGTCTGTAAAATATATTCTGGCTTACTGAGAACTGTACCAAACCATTTTCTTTTTATAAATACCATTCACTGCATATTATATAGTCTCTCTCCCTTGCACCCACTGAACAGCAATAATGTCAATCTAAATGTAGGCATACAGGAAAGGATAAAAAGTGGGACAAATAGCACCAGGACTATGTCGATAGCAAGTGGCAGAAAAAGAAATAGAGAGAAAGAGTGCAATGGATACCAAAAGGAATTTGATTGTGGATTGTAGGTCTAAAACTTCACTTAGGAGGAAACTGTAGGCAGCGTTGCACACAGGAACCCCTCTGAAAAAAACCAGGCCATTGGCTGGAGGCTAGTCACCCTGGTCTAGGGTGACCAGATGTCCTGATTTTATAGGGACAGTCCTGATTTTGGGGTCTTTTTCTTATATAGGCTCCTATTACTCCCCACCCCCAGTCCCGAGTTTTCATATTTGCTGTCTAGTCACGCTACCCGGGTCCTATACCTCATTAAAATCTTTATGGGGAAGCCATGCTGCAGGCCCTCCTTGAAAGGAACCATGGAGAGGGTGAGCCTAAGAGCACCCCAATGCCAGAGGGGAAAGAGCTCCCCCGTATGTAGCAGTGAGCCTCTGCTGGCCTGACCAACTCACTGTTGTCATAATATGTATCTAAAAGGTGTCATGTAAGGTATCAAATGTACACTGGCAACACACTGGTCATTAATATTATTGCAAGTATATAATTGGTTTTGTGGTGCATTTTTCCAGAAATTCTTCCTCAAGGTGGCCCATGAAGTGGTTGGCATATTGGGGAGCCACCCTAGTACCCAGGGCTCACTTCATTTTGAATGGGCCCTTGCAACATGCGTTAACTCTGATGTTTAAGAATCTGTTCCACCTTGTATTTAGCTGTGACACTCTACCTTTCCCAGAAAAAAATGAAACACAAGTAGCAAGGGATATTGATGTAAAATTAAAAGGGAGAAGTCAAAGAAAGATTGGATGGGTCAATAAATGGGATACCAAAGTAAGAAACTCTTGGTTCTTGAAAAGAAAGTGGCAAAAGAACTAGTGCTGTATTTGTTAAGGAAAAGGATTAGCAGCACATCTTTCGAGAGTGTGTTCATGGGTACTAATGAGGACAGGTTGAGAGTACTGAGATTACTGAATCAGTGATAAACAATCACTCAAACAAGATAAAGGTGAACAAATGCCAGCTAATTACAACCACGGCTGAGATGCGAGATTAGGGATCAAAGAATTGAACTAAAAATTGTACTTTTTGAAAGAATCATCAAATAGGCATGAATCAGTATAGTTCTTTGAAAGGTAAATCATGTCAGACAAACGTGGTTATCTTTTTTATGAAATAACTGTTGATTTAGTAGAGACAAGACAATTATTGGACTTCATTCTCCTCTCATAAAAATTTAAAGAAATTCAAATACCACAGTGATGGGTATTATTACCTTATAAAAATCTAGACTGACAGATTTTTCACCAACATAAATCCCCTGATTTCAGTGGAGTTACTCCTGAGTCTCTCCAGGGTAAATGAATGGAGAATGAGACACAAATGTTTTAATATATCTTCATTTTAGAAAACTTTGACAAAATTTCATTTGGTGAGTTATTGAATTAAATCTCTAAATAAGACTTGGCTAAATTATGAAGATGGGTAAAGAATCAGTTAATAGGTAGAAAGATGGTGGAGTTAAAGGTGTATATCAGGGGTTTCCAAACTTTCTGCCGGCATGACCCCATTTTAATGAAGTCTTTCCTGCCGGGACCCCAGACAGCATGGTGAATGCCATTTTGAAGAGCAAAATGTCATCCTCC